CGGTGGTAGAAGCAGCAGTGGCCCAGGCGAACGAAACATACCGCCAATCGCAAAAAGAGGGCATCAACAAAGTGTTGCAGGAGGAAATCCGAATGGGGTTTCAAGACTTGATGGGCGCGTTGAAAGAAGTTTTGCAACCGCGAGCGAATTGCGGCGATTCAGCTGCAAATGGAGCATGGCAACCGCCAGTCAGCCAGAATCGGGGTGCGGTGCCAAAACGGCCGCATCAATACCAGGCTGAACCTCTAACACCAGCAAGAGGAACTTCGCGTCCAGTAGCAAGGCCAGCGGCAGCTAATTCCTCCAGTGGAGCTGGCAATAGCAGCAACACAGCTCGAAATTGGCAAAATCCCGCAGCACAGTCGGCCCGTCGAAGAGGCAACAGGCGTTACGATGGGAGTGGTCAGCTGGACCCGCCTCCTCCGTATGTAGCGGCGAATGGCAGATCCGGATGGTGCCGCGTCGAAAAGTGGGACATCGTTTTCAGCGGCGATAAGGAAAAAATGGCTGTTGAAGACTTCGTTTTCCAGGTCGAGTTCCTTCAGAGGCAGTGTCGCTGCGCATGGTCCGAAGTATTAAACAGTTTCCATCTGTTAGTAACTGGGCACGCTCGCGAGTGGTACTGGCAGTACGTCAGGGACCACCGGGCAGACAGCTGGCCAGAACTAAAACGAAGCATGCTGTCCCGTTTTAAAGGCGCCGCCGATGAATTCGAGCGCATGCATCAATTGCGCGAAAGACGGCAGAAGGCAAGCGAAAGCGTTGAGGAGTACTTCCATGCCATGAGGAAACTGGCGTCGCGTCTCCACACAGCACCATCTGAAAACGAGATGATGAAATATATAAAAAAAGGATTAAAAATAGAACTAGCTCGTTATGTGTATGCGATGCGCGTGTACACGGTAGACCACTTACGTGACGAATGCGTAGAGGTGGAAGCTATGGTCCAGCGGCGAGAAGGCGTGTTCCCAACACGCAGCGGCACACGTTTTAGTGGCGGAAACCGTCCACCGGCAGTGGAGGAGGTGGTCGACGACACTAACGGCGAGGAGTCGGCGGATTTCGGCGTAGTTGAAGAGGCGCGTTTGGCAAGGCGTCCGCAACACGCGTTAGTTTGCTGGAACTGCAGACAAGCCGGCCATAGTTTCCGCGACTGCATGTCACCGGAAAGGCGCGTCTTCTGTTATAGGTGTGGCAGGCCCGACACCTATAGTCCAACCTGTCCCGATTGCACGGGAAACGGCCGTCGGAGTGCGGAGCAAGTGGGCGAATCGCGCTCGACACAGGTGCCCACCAGGATGACAGCGGAGCGGTCCTGAAAGAAGAATTTCATAAGAAAAATACCCCATATAGTAATAAGTTGAAATTTTTACCGTACGAGGAAAAGATGCGGGCATATCTGGAGGCGCGTAATAGAATTTTTGCCCAACATCAGTTAGATGGGATGAGGATGGTGACAGCCAAAGTTAAAAAGGCCCGAGCACGATTCCGAGTGAGAAGGCAGACGAAGAAGCTGGTAGCCGAGGCAGTGCGACGCGAAGGAGCAGCAGACCCGAGGATTTTTGCCGAAGTACTGGTACGAGGCCACGTGCTTCGCGGTTTGCTGGATACCGGGGCCTCGGTAAGCGTGCTAGGCAAGGGCAGTCTGGAACTGCTGAAAGAGATTGGCATGGTGCCCAGAAATTACATTTCGATAATTAAAACAGCAGGCGGTGAAGACAGAGCCGTAATTGGACGAGTGCGTTTACCAGTGGTGTATCGAGAAGAGGCCAAAGAAGTGGAATTTTACGTATGCCCATCACTCGAACAGAACGCGTATTTCGGTATCGACTTTTGGCGGCTGTTTAACTTGGCACCACTATTAATTCCTCCAGAAAAGCCAGCCGTTAAAAGACTTGTCCTCGATGAATTGCTAGCTGATAGAGTGGCGCATTATGCGGACCAGGATGAAGTAAGGCCTGAACCAGATATGTGGAAATTGAATGAACAACAAAAGCTGCAATTGGAACAAGTAAAAAAAAGAATTTTTAACCTTCGAAGAAGCGGGATTAGGCAAGACTACTTTGGAGACTCACCGAATTGAATTGGTCAGCGGAGCAGAGCCAGTGAAAGACAGGCACTACCCTCTATCACCCGCTATGCAGAAGATTGTGTGGGATGAGGTGGACAGCATGCTGGCGCTTGGCGTCATCGAGGTAAGCGATAGTCCGTGGAGTAACCGCACCACCATAGTGCGACGGCCGGGCAAGAACCGCTTTTGCCTCGATGCCCGCAAGTTGAACAAACTGACAGTCAAAGATGCCTATCCGCTACCATGCGTGGAGGGAATCCTATCTGGAATCGATCAGACATATTATATTTCCAGTGTGGACCTGAAATTTGCGTTTTGGCAGGTGGAGTTGGAGGAGTCCAGTAGAAGGTGCACTGCGTTTACGGTACCAGGGCGACCGTTGTACCAATTCCGCATGATGCCTTTCGGGTTGTGTAACGCCGCTCAAAGGTTGTGCCGGCTGATGGACAAGGTTATACCGAATGAACTGAGGTCCAACGTTAAAGTATATCTGGACGATTTGGTAGTATTCGCGGCTGATTTTGATACGCACTTGGAGTACCTGAAGAGAGTAGCTGAATGCCTCAAGAAGGCAAACCTGACGATAGGGTTACAAAAGTCGAAGTTTTGCTTTAAAACGTTGAAATACTTGGGATTTATCGTGGGCGGCGGCGTGCTTCGAACAGATCCGGAACGGGTGCAGGCGATACAGCGCATACAGGTGCCAAGATCCGTAAAGGAGGTTCGAGCTTTCTTAGGAACCGCCGGGTGGTACAGGCGATTTATTAAAGATTTTGCCACCTTAGCGGCTCCGCTCACTGAGGCTTTGAAAAAGCGATCGGGAGGCCGGTTCTCACTCGGTGGCGAAGCTATAGCAGCATTTGAGGCGTTGAAGAAGGCGCTCACATCTGCGCCAGTGCTGGTACACGCGGATTTTTCACGCCCATTTTTTGTACAATGTGACGCATCCCATATTGGCGTCGGAGCCGTATTATTCCAGGTGGATTTGCAGGGAAACGAGAGGCCCATTGCGTTCTTTTCTGCCAAGATGAACAAGCACCAGGTGAACTACTCGGTGACCGAGAAGGAGTGCTTGGCGGCGGTATTGGCGATACAAAAATTCCGGCCATACATCGAAATGATGCCATTCACGGTCATAACCGATCACGCCAGTTTGAAATGGCTGATGTCCATGAAGGATTTGTCCGGGCGATTGGCTCGTTGGTCGTTGCTGCTCCAGGGCTTCGACTTTGAAATCACGCACCGGAAGGGCTCCGACAACATCGTGGCGGATATGCTGTCCAGAAGCACCGAAGCCGAAACTTTAGAGGAGTTGGATTTCTTCCCAGGAGACCTGTTGGGTATAGAAACCGCAGAATTCGAATCAGAGGAGTATCGGGAGCTGATTAGCGAAATTCAAAGTCAAAAAGATAAATTACCTGATTTAAAAATTGAAAACGGGGTGATCTACAAAAAGACATCCTTCAATCGGCTAGAAGATCAGCTCGAAGGCAGTGTGTGGAAACTGTGGGTTCCGCGTGCGCTAACCGGCATGCTTATATCGAAGGCCCATACCGAAGCGTCAACGCATGGAGGAGTGTTGAAGACGTTGTCCTGGTTGCGGCGGCAGTTTTATTGGCCGGGAATGGCCAAAGACGTTGCTGAAGTGGTCCGAAAATGCGTGGTCTGCAAAGAGACGAAAGCCACCAATTACGGGATGCAGGTGGGAATTGGTGCAGAAGTCGTCACGGAGAGGCCGTTCCAGAAGTTATACATAGACTTCTTGGGCAAGTATCCGCGATCAAGGAAGGGGCACGCCTTCATATTCATAGTGGTAGATCACTTCACCAAATTCACGTTCCTGAAGGCGATGCGAGAGGCCACCACTCGGAGCGTCGTCGACTTCTTGGTGAACGAAGTGTTCCATACGTTCGGCGTTCCAGAAGTCATACACTCCGATAATGGTAAGCAATTCACGTCCAAGCAGTTTACAGACATGATGGAGGGCTACGGTGTTAAGCATCTGCGGACACCGGTGTATTCGCCGCAAAGCAACGCGTCCGAAAGGGTGAACCGAACTATACTGTCCGCGATACGGGCGTATCTGGGGCAGGATCACCGCGAGTGGGACCTACACCTTCCGGAAATTGAAAGGGCCATCAGAAACAGCGTGCATTCTGCGACTGGAGTAACGCCTTTTTTCGCACTATTCGGCCGACATATGATGTTGCACGGTTCGCAGTACCGATTGGCGAGGAAATTAAGGTCCTTAGACGAGCACGAATTCGCAGCGGTGAGTACAGCAGACAGGCAATCCCTGTTGCAACAGAAAATCCAGGCACAATTGCATGCGGCGTATGAGCGCAGTAGCGTTCGCTATAACCGGCGTGCGCGGCGGCTAAGACTAGCGCCCGGCCAGGAGGTATACCGGCGAAACTTTGCATTGAGTGATTTCAGCCGCGCGTTCAATGCGAAATTCGCGCGGAAATTTCTAAAAGCTCGCGTAAGGAAATCCATCGGCACCAACGCATACGAGCTGGAAGATTTGCAAGGGAACTTGCTGGGGGTATTCCACGCAAAGGATATCCGAGTGTGACGCCTGTCCTAAGGCAGAATGGATGAATATAGGGAGGAGGATGCAGCCAGAGCTACTCACCTGAAGATCAAGAGTGGGTGTGGCCTACGTTGGGCGCCGCGGTAGTAGTCATCCGAGGCAACGCCGGACTCGAAGCAGAGGACTCCAACAACACCAGCCGTTTGATGCGCGCAAACATCACTTCGGGGCACGAGCGTCCGCCCACTTGGATATTTGCGGTGGTGTTGCATCGGGCTGGTCACGAAGAATAAAAGGTGGCAGCGCTACGGAAGGCGCCAAGAATTTACAAAGGTACTGCAGCGCCATCTAGCGGTACCGAGCGAGGCACCATGGTGGCAACTGCAGCCACGCAGGCGCAGGGTTGTGTCCCGATGGCACCTCAAAGTGGGGAAACGTCAAGGCCGTGATGAACGGATGCGCAAGGACGTAAAAATCCGCAGGCATACGACATCCGGCCTATAAAAGGCAAGCCGCAACACGCCATTCCTGTTTTTGGGGCGACGGTGCAGACCCACGAGGCAGTGTTTTCGTTTGGTGAACTGGAGGCCGTGCTGAAACCTGAAAAAGGAAAGGAAGAACCAGAAGCCGTTCGAAGGTGAGCATAAGGATATAGATGCAAGGCAGAACTAATGCCGATGTATACATACCTGTATATCCACTTAAATGTGCCGACCAGTGCTTAAATGCCTTTTGTTCCTTGGCATATAGATTTTCCGGCATATCGCCAAGTTTTCGGACAGCGGTGGAACCATACACAGCAGCTGCAGCGGCCGTCATAAGTAGCAGCACGAGCTGCATCGTAGCAGGAGCAACAGCGACAGCAGCAGATCCAGCACCAGCGTCTTCAACGACAGCAGCAGATCCAGCACCAGCGTCTTCAACGACAGCAGCAGATCCAGCACCAGCGTTTTCAACGACAGCAGCAGCAACGACAGTGGCAGCCGGAGCAAAGGCGCCCACCCAAGAAGTAGCAGCAGCAATAGCGGCGCCACCACAACGCAACAGCAGACACGTCCGTCTGCGCCATCAGCAGCGGAGGATAGACAAGCCGGTGAGTCCGTTCCTTGGCCACGCGCCGTGCCTATTGTTCGCGGTTGAGCAGCGACATCAGGCAGAGATCCCGCGCGCCTTACGTCGTGTCGTTTGTATGGGCTGCGCCTGCAGGGTCCCACACGCCGCCCATTGAAGTTCCTGTAAAAGAAAAAAAAAGAAGATAAAACAAAATATATATACATAGATCATTAAAACCAAAACGAGGCAGAAAGTGGCACCTAGACAGAGCTTGGCGCTCTATTTAATTAATAAAAAATTCATACTCTTATACACTTATATTGTACGAAGATTGCCAATTGCAGTAGCGCGCAGTGTTTTATATTAGTCTTATATTTCTATTGCGCCCATGACCGTCGAGAGCTCTCGTTAGGATTTGGTTGGACATTTTTCTATAATTTTTTGTACCGCGCATATTTTTTTTATACACATACACATATATCTATATACATATTTATTTGCCATAAACATACTTGCATGTTGGCGCACATAAAGAACCGCATTGGCCGTTGGCAAGCCTTCTTTATTTTGTTTTTATATAAAAATTCTTGTTCCATGTTTACATTGTTTGCACTCACACTCAATCACACTGAAATATATGTATGTTTGTAGCCACATAAACTGAAAATTAATTGTTAATTTTAATGGTCGCACCGTTGGTGATGATGCATTAAAGCAGCATCAGTAGGGGCGGGAGACTCACCTTTGCCATGGAATAGCCCAAGCACGGCCCAAATTAAGGGTATCCAAGAAACATTTTGCCTTTGGATACAGGCAGGGTGGGTACGCCTGGGATAACAACAGCAAAATCCCACACGGTTGTCCGATGCCACAATTTCTGTCCGTCCGCACGTATATAATCTCCTTTTACAGTCACCCGTATTCGTACGGATGGCTTGAGGGAGTTATCCGTTTATTTGTTTTTTTGTCGCATTACGTTTCTTTTAGTTTATGTTAGTTTTTTTTGGTTTGTTTACGTTTTGAATTCGGTTTTGTATATTGCGCGTCGAATTTATTGTAGTGATGGCATTTTGTTTATCGATGGAGGAACCGTGATATCGGTTATTGTACGACTCACGCGGGCATAGGGTTGGAACCACACACCCAAGGAGAATTCCGATGAGCCAGCCGGCGTTGCCCAAGAGGAAAAGCGTAGTCGTAACAAGGATACTTGAGTCCAAATTTCATCTTTTACCGTTTGGGCTGTGCGTTGATCACCAATTAGTCAGGACAAACTGTTTTATATATAGAGATAACGCAACGTTTTAAGATAGACTATGTGCAAAAAAGGGGAATAATTATAAGGGTATATTCTAATTTTAAATTCATATTTGAGTCTTTTCGTGCCATATTGAGTCAATACGGTCACGCACAACCTCGGAATATGAAACACGGCACTCGTGTCAATGCCGTGCAGTGATGAGCAACGATCAAAAAGCACTGACAATTCTCATCTCAATTTGCTAGAGTAAAGCTTTCGATAGTTGAAGCCACCGATACCATCAAAATATCGAAGTTTGAATGCAATAAGCACAATATTTAAATAATAAAATCTAATTATTTATTGAGATCAATATATCATATACATACATACATCTGCCCGCAATGCGAAGCAGAATATGCGTAGCTCCGTTATTCGGTTTCTGCTTTACTATCGCTTACGCAGTCGTTGCCTAGCGACGGTAACTGTAAACTTTTGGCGTTTTGCCTTTGCAATTAACATTAAATGGTCAAAACGAAAGAAGAAGAGCGAGCCAATGACTTGCAGTTGTTGTTGTTTTTAGAACATTATTTTTTTTTACAATCAAACAACTGTGTTCGATTGCCCAATGTATACATTAATACGAATGTACATACATGCTATATTCATACACAGGCATACACACATACATACATCCATATGTATGTTTCTTTTTACTTTTTCAACCGTACGTAGAGAACCACACACATAGACACGAACTGTTGCTTGTTGTGTGTATGAGTGTGTGTATGTGATGTCCCCAACTATTTGATATTTGTTGTTGCTGCATAAAGTTATTAATGAAAACCCTAATGCCAAATGCACTAAACAAAGATAAAATTACTTTTAAAAATGTTATATAATTTTCAATTAATTAACATTTCTTGCTCTGTCAGTGCAAGACGAATATACATACATACATATGTAGATACATATGTACATACATAGATGTGCACATATGTATGGACATTCACACATTAGTGTCTCACATTTTGCTTTGGCTATTTCAATCGTTTGCATGCAACTACACGAACAGTTAGTTGTCCCCAACTGTTTGATATTTTGTATTGTTTGCATATTTTGAAAATCATTGAATATAGTTACGTAGATTACATTACCCAAATTTTAAATCGATCGGACTAAATTTATAACACATACTTTTCATTCGAAATAGTGAATAAATATTAAAACCCCAATAATTCAAGCTCCAACACAAAAAATCGAAGTATGCAGTTTTGTTTGTATTCTTTAATTGAAACTATAATAGAATAGAATAGAATATAATAGAAACTAAATTTTAAGTCGATTGGTTGAAAAATGCAGATTTTTCAAACAAACTTTGGAGCTAAAAAAAAATTTTTTTTTAAAATTAAATTATAAAAAAATTGAATGTATTAATTAATTAAAATTAATTAATTAAATTAAATTAGAATACATGTTTATGTTCAGTTTTAACAGCATACATTTACATCACGTACCTATGCGTGTTTATATGCGTGTGTGTATGCAGCACAAAGTTGAACCAAAGCAGCAACAACAACAAATATTGCATGTTGATGTTTATTCCACAGATTTTTTCTGGCCTGCATGGACAAATTGTCCAAGTTCGCGGTGGTACAGGCTATTCATTCACGTGCAATTCTGGACATTCATATTACTTCTAATGGACAGGTCGAATGTTTCCTTCAGTGTTGCCATTTTTATACCCTGTACCCGTAGGGTAAAAAGGGTATATTAGGTTTGTGCAAAGTATGTAACATGCAGAAGGAAGCATCTCCGACCCCATAAAGTATATATATTCTGAATCAGCATGACGAGAGAAATCGATCTAGACATGTCCGTCCGTCCGTCCGTCTGGATTAACGCAAGGATCTCAGAAACTATAAAAGCTAGAATAACCAAAGTTGGCATCCAGATTCTCCTAGGTCCGAGAAAGGACGAGTTTATTTTATTTTTTTTAATTTCCCCCCCCTTCCCCCGCTACAGAATTTCGTCAATAGCGTCCACATTTCAAATGCTACCTAAACAAAACTTTGCACACATCATTTATATATAATTGTCTACTGTTGTTCATTTATTTAATTCGGTCAATTCTAAAAAAAGTTATTAGCAAAACAAATTCTCGCCAGTACAACCCCCCAAGCTGCAGCAACAAGTTCGCTCTTCTTCTTCCTCTTTTTGCTGCTGCTATGGGCGCATATAACTCAGTGACGGAAGTTTACCTGGGTACAGGGTATTACACTGTCGGGCTTGCTCGACTGTAGCGTTCTCTCTTGTTTCGTATGCCATGGTCGTACCAATCATGCGTAAATAATTATTAGGCAATTGGTAGTCAAAGCGGCATAGTTTTGTCAGGCAAAATGACAAAAGCTATTTTTGTGGTGGAAGAAAACAGTTCACCTGGAACGTAATTCTTGGAATTTCGAACTAAAATTTTGCAAATACCCCCTGTTGGCGCAGATGCTGTTTTAGATTAGGATAGTTTAAGAGAAATATTTGAATTTTAGTTTAGGGCGAAAAGAGAGCGCGAGAGCGGCCGTTTGCGGACGTCGCCTCGCGCCCTTTTTGTCGCCGCCTTTGGCTTAGTTTAGCATGTAAGCCGAATTTTGAAGTTAGTTGTAAAATCGAACTAAACAGAAGCACAATTTCCACCGAATTGTTCGTAATTTTCCGCATAAAAGTAGTTAAAAAGCAAGCGTCCCATTTTCTTCGTTTTTATACAATTTATATAAAATCATATAAATTTTTCACCCCCAGTTAGTAATTATGTGTCTGTATGCCAAGTTTCACTGTGATAGACCGATTTAACAAGAAGTTATAGCCATAAATATATTTGTTGCTGCAGGTCGTTCGTTGATAACATGCTTACTGACTTTATTCTTGCAATTTATGACTTATATAGCCATGCTTACAACTAGCTTAAACCTTAACATTTACCGTTTCTATGTGTTGGTGGTTTCAAAATATTGATGTGCTAGCATATATTGTGAGTTTAAGTATGGTGCCAACATTATCTATGCTAATGCCTATCCTGTGAATGGCTATTTACGTCACGTTGATGAGATGTTATATACTCATTCGCATCGAAACAGATATATTTCGGCATAAGTCTCGACAAAATTCGGATTAGGTAGTGGAATATTTTGTGGCTCGAACTATTTGCTATATTAAATCAGTCGCTTACCGACAAAAACGATTCTTGTTTGCCCAGAAGCCAAATTGTGAAAAGTAGCAGCAACTGTAAGGACAAGTGACTGGGAAACGCAATTAAAATTTAAATACCCATGTACCGAATAGGGAGACCATACCTTGAAAATAGTCCGCGACTTTCTGAAATGCTCCTTGAATTGGTCCATCCTGTACCCTGGTATAGTTACCTCGAAGAAGCACTTGGAGCGGATCCGCTCCCTTGTTAGTTTTCGGCACCCCCAATATCTTTTATTAATTGACGCTTCCATGAACATGTCGGTTATTTTCTTTTTATGTGTTTCAGCATCATTATCCAATGGAAAATTTCTGCGGGTAACATTTTCG